CCTTTATTGAATGAATAAAGAATTACTGTCTTATTAAACATAAAATCTTGTAATATTTTGGTTTATTTTATGATCTGTTTCATCGTTGAATCCTGATTTTTTAAATTAATAACAGCAAAAATATTAAACGTAAACGTTAAATACGTAAAATACGTAAACGTAATACGTATAAAACGTTAAATACGTAAACGTAAGTTTCAGTTACAGTCTTACATAGACCGTGGTTTTAGTCAAACCACCAACGAGATATCATTAAAGACCGGTGGTCTTATGGGATTTAGTGTGACTGGAAAAAAAACTCGCTACGCGTTATTTTAGTTCATCCAGTTATTGTTTTATTATCAAAAATGTATAGATCTTTTATATAACTGCCTCAAGAACAACAAAATAAACATTTTATCGTAAATTTATTGTTTTATTATCGACAATGCAAAGATTTACTTATCTAGAGTACCGCATGGCGAGTTTTTTTCCAGTAATATGCTAAATCCTATAAGACCATCGGTCTCTAATAATATCTCGTCGGTGTTTTCGATAATAAAATAATAACTGGATGAAATAAAGTAACCGTACCAATTAAATAATTCGTGTAATTATCTTCGATCCAATCAAACGGCCGGTAATGTCAACATTCTTCAATTACCTCCGGGCCCACCGGGCCCACTTGATGATCACAAAAGTTTACTCAGGGCTGACGGTCTTTAATAGTATCTCGTCGGTGGTCAAACTCATTTGAATTTCCCACGCTCGAAGGCAAATTGCCGGGTAAGATGGCGGCGTCCATTTGGAGACGCTTTTGAGTCCTAAGGCCGATATTACATTTGTCGTACGACAAACTTTTTAAGCGCATTGATTAGCTAATTTCTAGAGACTCAAGAAAATTTCTATTTTGCAGCCAATCAACATGGTTAAAAAGTTTGTCGTACAACAAATGTAATATCGGCCTAAGGCCGGATTCATACCTTGGCAGAAAAGCAGAAAGCAGAAAAGCAGAGGCCAATCAGAACTCGCGCTAAAAAAGCAGAATGTACTGCTTATTTTCAGCGCGATTTCTGATTGGCTTCTGCTTTTCTAGCACGAGTTCTGATTGGCTTCTGCTTTTCTGCTTTCTGCTTTTCTGCCAAGGTGTGGATTCTCCCTTAAGGTGCAAACCTATGCGGCGGAATAGCGTAAAGGCTGATTTATGCAGGCCGTAACTGTTAATTTATGCCGGAACCGTTAAAGTTTAACACTAGGATTACAATGCTTTTGTTCATAATGGCATTATGAACAAAAGCATTGTAATCCTAATGTTAAACTTTAACGGTTCCGGCATAAATTAACAGTTACGGCCTGCATAAATCAGCCTTAACGCGGAACAAGAGCGGAACCAATCGCGAGCGTTCCGCAGTTTTCGCAACGTGGATTCCAAGTCCTTACATCCCCATGGAGCGTAACGAGCGTACCACGGACCAATACGCAACCAATCACGAGTTATTATTTCAAAAGGGTTAAAACCGCGTTGAAACTTATTTAGCTTATTTTACATTTTTAATACATATTTCCAATAAGAACGCATTCATTTCAATATTTATGTACATAATAATAAAAAACGACCGATAAAAACAATATTTAAAAGTCATTTTAGAGTCGTTCTGCTCGTTCTGCTTGCGCTCATTCCGCTTCATGGGGATGTAGGGACTTGAAATCCACGTAACGAAAATAACGGAACGTATGTATGTACACATATACTTTGTTAAATTGACAGCGTAGAGCAACGTGGTCTATGAGAAAAAGTTACTCAGGGTCATGTCCTTGACAACTGTCTATCTTGACAATTGTCAAGATCAAGATTATCGGAGCTGGCTCCCCTATACTAAATAATTACCATTTTGATATATAAAGCTAGTTTCCCACGATGCGATTTTTCGTGCAAGTTTACTTGCGAGGAGCCCTGCCAGCCACTGTGCAGGCTACGCAGCGAGAGAAGTTGCTTGCTGCGAGTAGCGCTGCGTGTAGCGCTGACGGTTTTCATTGATAGAACGAGTGCTATTTTCTCTGCGTGTTTTGTTGCTAGGCAGTGTAAACAACCAATGAGAACTAGCGACTAGATCATGTGACAAAATTGACATGATCTTGTTGTTTTTTTTGGTTATCATTGTGTGCCATTTTTTCATCCAAAGTCTTCTTTATCGTCTTTTCATGATGATTTCTTTCCACTTCTAAAATTAGCAAACGAAAAAGTGCTCCTAAACTTTCCCTGCGTCATTTTTCAAAATTTTTTTTTGAGGAGCAGCGCACAAATTATCATCCGCTAAGCTAGCTTTGCACCTCGCTCCGTGTGAAGCAAAAACCTGCAGCGCGCCCAGCTTAGCTTTATGTAATGTAAAGCGCAGGGCAGCAAGCAGCAAATCATGCATCCTATCCAACACGAAAAATCGCATCGTGGGAAACGGGCTTAATAAATGTTTTTTTATAATGTAGTATTGCACCAAGCGCGCGTTCCACTTAACGACCGCAACGCTCGCGAGCATCATCTATCTTTGTTTAACTTTCGGTGAACAACAAAGATGAAATGATACCGTGAGCGTTGCGGTCGTGAAGTGGAACGTGCCCCAAAGAATAAAATAAAAAAACCACGATTAAAAAATGAAGAAAATATTGACGAGAAAACGTTAAAAATAGAACGTATCAAACATATAATTCAGCAAGAGCAGCAAATAGCAAATTTAAAGATATAACATCAAGAAGCAATACAAAAACTTGAAATAAAACATCTCAAAGAAAAGTACCCAGTCAGCCATGTCTGCTCTAACAGATATTGCCAAGTGCTTGCTACAAATTATTGTCAGCAAGAACCAAGCAAAGCTTGCTAACATAATTAGACAGCAAATTGGCGGCAGGAACCGAGCAAAGCTTGCTGACATGACTGACATCAGATTGTCAGCAAAAACTGAGCAAGATCTGGAGTGCGCAATCCTGAATTATTACTTAAAAAGAAAAAAAAAGTATTAAAAGTTATGTTTATAAGTTTAATAATAACTTAATAAATTTAATAATAAGTAAGTACCAAAAGAGAATAATTATTTTTTAGTTTTATATGTTATATATATACCCAGATAGCCAAGAATGTTAAAATCACGTTTTGCCAAAGCTTTGCGACAAGGTGTGCTTTAATTTTGACAACAATTTTGTAGCAAACATTTGTCTTGTTTTGGTTTGTCAAAAAGTTTGAAGCAAATTGACAGCAAAATTTTTCGTCTCACGATGCTGTAAATAATAGGAAAAGGCTTGCCCGTAAATTTTACGCATAGAAGAACAGCTTTTTGCGGACACACCTTGTCACAATTTTGCTATAAAGGCATGCTCGGGTTTGCTGCAAACTTTGTGCAAAGTTTGCATCATTTTGCTTGCTGGGTAGGATGTTTAACATCCTCTGGATGTTCTCTGGACGTCTTTTCAACATGGATGTTGTAGAGATTAATAACGTGTAATTTGCAAGAGATATCCTGCCATATCCCTTGGCTTTGCATAAGATATCTTATTGGGATATTCTGGACGGGATATTCTACTTACTGAGTCATATCTGGGATTGCATTTGGAAATCTGGGACAAGTTGGGATATTCTCAGAATAAAGTGTGCTATGTGGGAATATGTATATTACTTGCAACATTCCGTTTTATTGCTCTTATATAACATTAATACAACAGTGTTTACTGGGCATAATTACTGGGTTTATTACCAGAATTTCGTCGTAATAGATTTCCTTCAAAAGAGATATATCTCTAACACGCTTAATAATTTCTTTTACCCTATCGAGCGACGATTTTTACTTTTCAAACCTTTGTTTTTATGCAAAAAACCATTGATTAAGTGTATTTTTATCAAAATCTAAGTTGAACGGGTTATTCTAAACATTTACACCAAAATTGCAAATAAGGAAATTAATCATGAGTTTTGTAGAACTTTATACTTTTTTGAATTTTTTATGATGCATTGCCATTTTAACCAATCATCTGTTAATCAGTTCCAAAAATCATTAATGACTTTATCAGAAAAGTCAAGATACATTTGTGAAATTTATGATAAATCTGTTAGAAATTTGGTAACAACGAATTCTTGCCAGAAAAAAAAATTAGAATTCCAAGCTCAGTTTTTCTACATGATAAAACAGGCAGTTTCAAAAATTCGAAATGAATTAGCTTTTACCACACCTAAACGATAATGTAATCTTGCAGTTATTACAAATATAAAAGAATTTGTTAGAATGGTTTTTGAATTAAATGTAATAATGATATAGATTCAAGAATAGCTCTATTTCAAATAATGTATTAGATTAGAACAGAATATTACCATATTGACCATAAAATTTTAACTGAGTTACACATAAATAAACATAATACACATAAGTGTAACAAAAAAATTAATTTTTATACTTATGTTAGTTGATAGCATTGTGATAAAACTCAGATAAACACTCTGCATGTAAAATTCTTTAAAATAACATTAATTATAATATTTATTTTTTATGTATCAATATTTAATGGTATTAAGTAAAGAATATAAACAGCATTTAAGTTTTCTTTTGCATCCTCAGTTCATATGTGCTAAGACTATACTACAAAAGCTCTTTCTGCTTTTATCTCACATGAATATTAAAATATATTTTAAGAAATAATTTTTAAAAAACATTTTCCTATTTGATAATTATACAGCTTTACGTACAACTGTGTCTTTAATATTTTATCAATGGCATATAAAAATATAGCTAAAATATATTCTCAAAAGATATATATATATATATATATATATATCTTTTGAGAATATATTTTAGCTATATTTTTATATGCCATTGATAAAATATTAAAGACACAGTTGTACGTAAAGCTGTATAATTATCAAATAGGAAAATGTTTTTTAAAAATTATTTCTTAAAATATATTTTAATATTCATGATATGTTTATATTAGATTTATTTGTAATATATATGTTGTGTGTGTGTGGATTTTTTGAATATTTTTTTCTTTACGATTTATTTGTTTCTCTCTCAATCATAAAATGACAAAATTTCCTCTGTACATTTTTTCAAAATATTTAATGCAGAATTAATATCGCTTTTATTCAAATTAGCAGATATACTAATTCTAAGACTAGGTCTAGGTAAAACTTTTTCCACTTCCAAATAAGCAGGAAGTATAACTGCCAAATTATTTTCTACACATTTATTAGATATTGCCAATAGTAATTGCTCTTCAATGGCACGATCTTTCTTTTTTTTTAAATATATGTGCTTCAAAGGTGATTCTGCAAAACTTGAGCACTCTAACATTGATATTTCTTTAAGACCACTATCTATTGCTAAGGCATTATCTTTCAATAATTGAAATATTTGTAAATTATTTTCCATGATATCTAAAGAAGTGATAGCAGCAGATGCCAAAAGAGGTGGCTGAGATGCTGAGAAACAATAACCAAGTCCAGATAAGCGTTGATGATCAATAACAAACGATGTTCCCACACAAAAACCTCCAATAGTTCCTACAGCTCCTTCTAAAGATCCTAAAAGATATAAATATAATATGTTGTACATATATATACATATATTTATATATATATATATACATACGAAGGCAATGCCGAGAGATACGACGAGGGTGGATTTCCTGCGGGCATGCGTACAGCTCGCGAAATGATGGTGGTAGGGTGGAAATCGCGGAGGTTCGAGGGTACGAACAAGGGTGACACCCTGCAGTCTGACGCGGGACTTCGACCCTCGTGCTTCGCCGGGGAATGAAGTAACCAGTCACGATTCTTGGACTAGCGACTCGAAGAAATTTATAACATATATACATATGTTAATATATTTAATTATTTGCAATTTTATAACGTACAATTTTTCTTACCCATTATCATATCTATCTGATTTCTAGGAATATTAAAATATTCAGTAACACCTTTTCCATGTAAACCAATGGTACCAAATGATATCGATTCGTCAATAAAAACTCTCAATTTATATTTTTTGCAAAGATCTAATAATTCTGGCAAGGGACATATGTTTCCTGTATTCATATAGATGCCTTCTATGATCAGGAAACGTTTAGCTTTTGCAGCTTTTTTAGGATATTGTTTATTTGCTTCCATTTGTTTCATTAAAAGATTATGTAAATCTTGAACATTATTGTGCTTAAAATATTGGATATTTCCACGAGATGCATCTAATCCTTTTTGGATTGCAAAATTTACTTGATCATCTACGAATATCAAGTCATTACGTTTACAGTAAGCTGGAATCGCAGATGCTATAGTAGCAAATCCATAGGAATAAATAATAGCTTCCTCTACGTTCATAAAATTAGCCAAGCGTTCCTCTAATTCAAGATGTACATCGACAGTTCCATAAAAACCTCGTGGTCCACAAGAGCCAACGCCATATTTCTTTATAGCTGTTACTGCACTCTCTAGTATTTCTGCACTGTCACTTAAACCCAAATAATTATGTGTACCCAAATTGAGACAATCTTTACCGTTGACTGTTATTCGTTTTCCAACTTTAGAAGTGATATATTTAGGATTTAGCGAGGGATGTTCTTTCAGTGGTTTTGGTACTAGAGATTCTGGTTGATATTCTGCTAATTTACGTTCCACTAATTCTTTTGATGGTATTGAGTTATGACTGTTACTTCGCCTTTTAGAAATAAACCAAGCTAGCCAAATCACTAAAATCACTTCCAAAAAGGTGTGATAATGCGGTAAGGTACTCCGCAAAATCTCCACCGATTCAACAAATAGAAACTTTGTGCTCATTATTCTTACTTATCCAAGCAATATGTTACCTTTGTGCTTACGATAAAATTTAAATCCAAATGATATGAGCACATATAATATTGATAACAATAATTCTGATAAATATTAGATAATATCATAGCATGAAGGAAGAGTAAGTAGAATTATCTACCTAGATTGGAAATGGTCACGAAAAATGTTCCGTGTGTGGCCAGCATGATGTAAGAATATAAGGTATACCATGATGTAAGAATACATGGGGTCTGTTCTTTATAGCTGAACTGGCTGCACTAGTTCAGAGTTTATCTTTTTCTCTCCCCATTGGAAGGAGAAAGATAAGCTCTGAACTAGTGCAGCCAGTTCAGCTATAAGGCTAATATTACATGCGTCGTACGACAAGCTTATTGGACGTTCCGATTTGCTGATAGTGCGCATGCGTCCGTTTCTACGACGTAATTTTGTCGTACATATGTAATATAGCTTCATCGACATATGTCTATAGCTTTTGTGTCGTACGTACGTGATTTAAAAAACATTGAAGTATGGCTGATATAAATTAGTTTAATTTGCTGTGTACAATAGCACAAGTGATACAGCGGAGGAGATTATGCATTGCAGCAATATTATTAATTCACAAGAAAAGAAAAAATAAGAAAAGATGTTGGGTATCAGATTTTCTTTGTGAGCGAAAGACTTATGGGGCTTATTATACAACAATACCAACGTTATTACAAAATCCTAATTTATTTATAAACTATTGTCGGATGAGTGCAACACTATTTGAAGAGTTATGTATTTTAATTGCACCAAAAATCAGAAAGCAAACACTTTGCCGAGATCCAATACCACCTGATCAACGTCTGCTGCTTACATTAAGGTACAAAATTTATATCAATAACTTATTAATATGTAAATTAATATTGTCAGCAAATAAAGATAATTACATGTTGATTATTTACTTTCTTTCAATGTTGATTGTACAATTTCTTATTTAGATATTTAGCATCTGGTGATTCAATGATGTCATTAAAATATCAATATTATATCGATCAATATACAATAACAAATATAATTGCTGAAACGTGTAATGCATTATGGACAACTTTAGTATCCATTGTTCTTACCCACTCGGCATGTAATATTTCTGATACATTGCTGCAATATTCCATTTGAAATATTACACTTTTCAACAATATTACAGAAATATTTCACGACCGTTTCTGCAACATTTCTGCAATGTTTCAATGTCCGCAATCATTTCAAATACAACCTTGCTAAAAGATTTCAGCAATATTTCGGTAATATTACTGAAATATTTCTGAAACATATCCCAAGTAGCAAACTGACGTAATAATGACGGTAAATTTTGGTCACAGAATAACCACTTAGACATCCTAACTTATGATAGGTCTCATGAGACCCGAAAATGATGTCGATATGTCACATCCACGAGAATTAATGAAATATATTTCTGTACCATTTCCGAACATTACAGTATTTCAGCAATATTACATGCCGAGTGGGTAAAGTACCTACATGTGATGAATGGAAAAAAATTGCAAAAAATTTTGAGATGAAATGTATAATTTCCCACATTGTTTAGGTGCTGTGGATGGAAAGCATGTAGTCATACAAGTAATATTATATTTTGTTAAGTTTAATATTATTTCTTTTTAATTATTTATTTTCAGAACATTTTCATATCTAAAAACATAATTTTAGGCTCCACCAAACTCTGGGTCCACATATTATAATTATAAAAGTTCGCATAGCATAGTGCTAATGGCTGTTTGTGATAGCAATTATAAATTTCTGTTAGTTGATATTAGAGCGGCAGGACGTCAAAGTGATGGAGGCATATGGTCGAGATCTACTATGGGTGAAGCGTTCGCAGCAGGTGAAATGGATATACCACCTCCAGATCATGTCTTTGAGGGACCTATTTTGCCATTAGTAGCTGATGAAGCTTTTCAATTAACAAATTACACGATGCGGCCGTTTCCTGGAAAAGGAGGTTTAACAAAGGAAAAACGTATATTTAATTATCGACTCAGTAGAGCGCGCCGTATGGTGGAATGCGCGTTCGGAATTCTTTCTTCTCAATAGAGAATATATAAGCGACCTATTAACACATCGATACAAACGGCAGAAAATATAGTAAAAGCAACAATAGTTTTACACAATTTTCTTCGTCAAAATACCGAGGATATTAACTGTTTTTCCGAAACTACTAATGTTATGGATATTGCAACTTTATCTGAAATTGAAGCTGCGGCATTTAAAGATTTAGGCAATGTTGGCAGCAATACTCATACGCGGGAAGCATACCACATACGAAGCATTTTTGTTGATTATTTTAGTAATGAAGGTGCTATTCCATGGCAAGAAATGTGCGTATAAAGTTAATATATTTTTCAATGTGTGTCATTTATAAGAATACACTATGAAGTACATACTTAATTTTTAGATTAGATTTAATCATTATACCATAAAATGTTATTAGAAATAAAATATAACAAATATTGCTTAACTATTCGAAAAAAAATGTATAAAGGTTTTACGAAATATTATTTTGTCATTACTACACACACACACACACACACACACACACATTGTAATAAAGTACATACACATATTGAAATAAAATATATTTTTATTGAGACATGACATTTCCTTTTTTCTGTTAATTGTAGTTCTTAAAATAACAAACGTTGCAATATAGTTTTGGAGTTTATCTTAGAGTAATTTTGCATATTATCAATTACGTAATTACTCAGTAAAAGGAACGCAACATAAACTTCATACTTTCTTACGTAATTGGTTTCCTTTTTCAGAAGTTAATTGCAATAATTTTAACGCAAATAAAAATCCTTCATTATCTGGAAATTCACGTAATAGATTTCCTATTACAATTATTATGTTAGTTATATTGTCTTGTGATTGCGCAGATTCAGGTGCACGTACTGTTTTTTCTGCTTGTAGTGATGATGTATCTATTTTTATTGGTTCCCTCATGATGCTTGATAACGTTTCTAACATGTCGCTATTATTCGATCGCTTTCGTCGCTTTTGCATGTGAGCAGCATCTTCTTCGAGTTCTGATATTTCACTTGTTGACGCACAGTCGCTGCTTTTACTTGGAATGTTAGTAGCAGTACTGAAATATAAAGCAAAATTTATATATAAAAATATAATAAAAAAATACTTCATTACATATATTATTAATTTATTACATATCGCTCCGTCTTTTAAAAGAAAGAAATTAATAAAACTCGACGCTTAATGCTGCCATGTAAAGGCACCTTTAAGCGTCGAGCGTCTGCGCAGAAAAATGCGCAGAATTTAAAAGAGATAGATTCTAGGCTGAAATTAGATTCTGCGCAATTTTCTACGCAGACGCTCGACGCTTAACGCTGCCATGTAATGGCACCTTTAGGTTTAGAATCAGTACTTAACGTAACGTAATGCATTACGGAAAAGCTTGTGCGGTGGCCCTAAAGGGCATTCTACAATGTCAGTAACAAGGTTGTAGGAGTAGGAGAGTATACTTTTAAGAGCAAATGGGAATTGCCCATTTTGTTACTCCCCGTCTAAACATCACTAAAAACAGTATACTCTCCTACTCCTACAGCCTTGTTACTACTGCTTAAGTTTTTTTATGTGCCACGGCCCTAATGCCCGTATCAGACTACGCATTGAAAATTAAAGATTGAAGATTACAGCCTTGTTACTGCCATTGTAGACGGCCCTTAAGACTTAAGAATTTCAACCATACGGAATTTTCAAGCGTAGCTTACGTTTCAATATGGCTGCCTTACTGTTCGGCCGTGATTGGTCAATTTGCTTACGTCTTAAGTCTTAAGGCCCGTCTACATAGGACGCAACACGCCAGGACGCAAGCAAATCGACCAATCATAGTCGATTATTCCGAGAATATTCGACTATGGCCGGTATTCATGCTTGCGTCCTGGCGTGTTGCGTCCTATGTAGACGGGCCTTTAGCACGCAGTGTGCTGCGACAGCATCTAGTTCCATCAATGACATCATAAATGGTAGCCATATTGCTACTGCGGTTACTGCAGCTCTCAAGGTGAAGCAGTTAGGGCCGTGGCACATAGAAAAACTTAAGCAGTAAGACTTAATCTAAAGCCCGTATCAGACTACGCATTGAAGATTGAAGATTAAAGATTGGAATTTGACTAATCAGAACAAAAGGGACTAAAATTTCTTTATTCTGATTGGTCAAATTTCAATCTTGAATGTTGAATCTCAATCTTCAATGCGTAGTCTGATATGGGCTTAACCGGACTTGGTGAAATTGGCCCTAATAGATTTCCAGTACTGGCAGGCAGTGAATTTTGGAATACAGCCTATAATAGGTTTGTTCACGTTGCTTGAACTTTTTGCATTCAGCATCTTCGCTTTCACTCTCTTCAACATTCGAATATATATTTATCTCGTTTTAAGTGCAAAAATTTTTGGGAATTTCAAGCAACGCGAACAAACCTAATATCGGGTGCACCCGGATGGGGAATCGGAATACAACCCTGAAGGTAAAATATGCTATAACAAATAAAAATTGAAAATAACAAATAAAAATGATAAAAAAGAAAAAAAATATTTTTTTCAAAATCAAAATATAATTTTTTTTTTTACAGATGATATCAAATCAAACACTTATGAAAATAGCAAGTTTGGGAGGATTCATAACAGCAAGTACAGGTTATGCCTTTCATTATCGCATACAACATGATATTAAAGAAAATGAGTCTTATAAAGACGCGATAAATATCTTCCGTGCACATAAGAAAGCTGTAACATATCTTGGAGAACCTATAACATTGGGTCGCATCACTTATGGTGATGGGCAGCAAATCCTTGGACAAAAAATGAAGTACAAATGGTTTAAAGTTTCACTTACAGGTAGCAATACTAAGGCAAAGTTATATTATGAGGTAATATTAGAACATAAAATTGAAAATAAATATGATATACCTAAAATTGAAATTACGTTTGATAATATACCTGGAAAGACATTTGTAATAAAAGATTGTGAGATAAATAAGTAATAACAAAAAATTATATTAAAAATATAGAATATGTAAAATATGTAAAGTATGTAAAAATATAATTGCAAGAAAATTTAAGTTATTTAATTAATTACAAATTAGATAAAAATTAGTTAAATAATTTTGAGAGAGCAGTTGAATAAAGATATAAAGTCACATAAGAATAATTAAAATAGAAGCAAAATATATATTATTGAGATGTCTGTAAAGGTAATGGTATATCAGTAACACCCTTAGGTACTCTCAAACCACGCCTAGTATATCCCAAAGCTGCTTGAATAATATGTATGGCTGCTTCTATAGTAATCTTCACATCTTGGACACTGCCGATTTGTGGATTAACTTCTACTAAATCTATAGCGCTCAGTCGATGTGTTCTGTATATTTCTTCCATAAGATTAATTGCTTCTCTAAGAGACAATCCTCCACGGACTGCAATTCGAAAACATTCATAGACAGAAGAATTAGAATAAGAATTTATTAATAGAAATGATACATCAATACAATCAACTACCTGGAGTTCCAGTACTGGGTGCTTCGAGAGGATCTAATGCATCTATATCAAAACTAACATGTAAAGATCTCGAATTATAAGGATCTATCTTGTTTAGTGCCATATGTATTACATCATGAATACCTAAAAACATTAATCTTAGTGCGTTTCGTATTTTATGCATGATTGATGCATTATTATTTTAAATGCAAACCGTAACGTTCTATATCTTCCATGCCAAAAGCAGTAATACCAAATTTTTCAATTACTAATCTTTCATAACGATCCACAGATCTCAAACCAATATAAGCTACATTTCTGATAGACAACCTATAAAAAACCGATATATACTAAATTTATTTTCCTTGGTTCGTTTGTCGATATAATTTAAATAATAGATAGATTAGATTAGTCTAAATGTTTGAACACACATTACTCTTACATTGGCATTTGCCAATCCATGCCTGGTAAATATGGCCAATAGTCAGCTAATTCCGAAGTTAACAATGCTACAGGCATTCCATGTACATTACCGCTCTCGCTGGTCTTATTAGTATTTAAATCTGCATGGGCATCGACCCATATCACCGCTACATCCTGTTTTTCCTGAAAAGTACATAAGCATTCGGAGTAAATAATTATTGATTTTTTTTTCTATTTACAAATACGTTTGCTATTAAATACCTTTACATGTCCATCAATAGTACCAATACTCAAGCTGTGATCACCACCGATTGTCAGTGCTTGCCTACCATTTCGTAATACTTGTCGAACTTGTTCGGATAAACGACTTGCACAACTTGCTACGTAACCCAAATGTGACATATTATTTACATCACTTATATTATTTGCATCATAGAGTACATCACCATAATCTTGCACATCTAACTCTTAAGGAATGAATATAGATTATGTTAATTGTACATATACATGTGTGTGTACAAAAGATAAATAATATGTTATACAATATACATTTATATACCTAATGTTTTTAATTCGTATATTAAATTTGCTGCTCTAATTGCATTTGGTCCATGAGCTACTCCTTCTTTTTTCTATTAAATTCATTGTTTTTATGACATAATTGATGTTCTTTACTGCTTTTATTAATATTTTCATTTAAGGGATAATATATATAGGCAATATAGTAAATCAGGACTGAAAATATTTTTTATTATTTCTATATTATTTACCTGCCCTTTATCAAATGGTACTCCTATTATACCAACTTTTTCACCATAATAACGAACACTTAATTTATTATAGATTGTGCGTGTTTTAATTAATATATTCATCTCTAATTTCGTCCTTTCCTTGCTGCAGAGTTGTTTACAAGTGTACATAAAAAAATTATCTACTCTTTGACCCCTACAGATTCGATCTGGTATATCATTAAAATATGTGTATCAACAACAGACGGAATAGATAGTCCGTCCGTAGCAAGATCGTTAGTCGTATATGTATAGACAAAACAAATGTGATAAGTATATATGTATAGATAATTTTTATACATATGTTGCTCTCTCTTTTCCATCATGTCCACATATAAACCAATATTATAAGATAAATTATATATATATTTACAATATATAATTATAAATTGATTTAAATGTGTAATAAAAATGTGTGAGATAAATCAGGGAATTATATAATTAATTAAAATCATAATTATTTTTATTAACCTTGATTTTAAGTACACAATATATTAAATATTACATATAATAAATCATAAATATTTTATTTTGTTAATATGCATTTATTAACTCTTTACATCAGGCTCTACTGATTGAAATAAGTAACGACGAATAAAATATATGATGGAGTGTATATTTCCATTAAATATCTTTTAATATAAAAATTATTTCGGACCAAGCATCTGTTCAGGTCTGACCCATTGATCAAACTGTTCCGCCGTTATTCCATGTTTCAATGCAGATTCTTTTAATGTGAGTTTTTCTTTGTGCGCATGCTTAGCAATTGCAGCAGCCTACAAAAAAAAGTTATAAAAATTTCTTACGAATATTAATAATTTTGATACATAGAAACTTAAAACATCTCCTTCCATCATTTTATTTTAAAAGAAATATAAATATATGGATACCTTATCATAACCAATATATGGATTCAATGCTGTGACAAGCATCAAACTTTCATTCACATTCTTCTGTATTTTCTCAATATTGGGAATAATGCCCACAACACAATTCTTTGCAAACGATGAGCTGGCATCACCTAACAACCTTGCAGATCTCAGAGCGTTGGCAACCATGATCGGTTTAAAAACATTAAGTTCAAAATGGCCATTACTGCCACTGATACTTATTGCCACATGATTACCCATTACTTGACTGCATACCATAGTCATTGATTCACATTGTGTAGGGTTTACTTTTCCAGGCATAATAGAACTTCCAGGTTCGTTTTCTGGAAGAGATAATTCCCCTAAACCGCATCTAGGCCCACTTCCAAGAAATCTAATATCATTTGCAATCTATGCGTGTGTGTGTGTGTGTGTGTGTGTGTGTGTGTGTGTATACATACATATAATTAGTAATATATTGATAGAAAATGTAGACCGAATGAAAAATAAATGTGTTATTTTTACAAAATGACAAATAAAGGTGTGGATATTATTTGTATATACACATATAAGCCATCAAATAATTTGAAACAGCTTGTTTTTATGATTAATTAATTTTCTCCTTTTATAAAATAGGATTATCACATATTTTTATCAAGAATTTTTAATCGAAATAACGAATCAAATAATTATATTATATATGAGAAACATTAGGAATATTAGTTATTTATATATAGAAAACTAAGATGTTATGTAAAACTGACAATGATTCATGACATATAGACAAATGTTACAAAATTTAGAAAAGTAATTCTCCTTTAATTTTTCCTAATAGCAAAAAAATGAGTTGCAGATCGTTGTGTCTCCCTTTTTCTTATAAATAATATCCCACAATATATATAAGATTAAAACTTTTCACATCAAATTATATTTATACCTTACTGTTCATTGTAACTGCCGATGTGGATATATGGAATTTTAGTGATGAACAACTTTTAGTGGTGATCAACTTTTTCAATTGACGCAAGCTGTGATTAGACAGATGGTACTTTAGTATGTTGAATGTCATTTTTTTCAACAATTCTAACAATCTGTTTTATAGATAATATCAAGAACCTTAAAATAGAAGAAAACTTAAGAGCGGCTACACGCCGGCGTTTTTGGTCAGTGAGCTTATTTATACCATCATAGATCTAGTTTCCACCGAAGTCGTCAATCCGATTCTGTTTCGGTGCGCATCGAATTTAACGTACTGTTTCCACTGGAAGTAGAATAGAAGCGAGAAAGATTGATATTTCAGTAGAGCCAACTTAACCACATGTGGCACATGTACGCGGTTCGCGCTTGTGTGTGTTACCCCTTCCATTGCTGAGCCGTGAGCCGCGGGACCCGTTTCTGGCATCACTGCTTGTGAGTAACTCTGCTCAAAAGTGCGCATGCACGGCCATGAGTGTGTACACAAAAGTATGTATACTACAGACACGATGCTTGTATGTGTAGTTACTCCCAAGAGAGAGGCAACTACATTTTCTTTCTCACTTCTTTCCGACACTTTTCAGCCTGCTATTCCCCTTCCATTTATATATGTTCTAAGACTGAAATATCCATAGACATAGTATATCTAGACCGAGCGTTTGCCTTTATTTAAGGAGTGGGGGTAAAGATGCACGTAGAAAAGGACATACTCTGTTTCGTGCCCCTTGCGTTCTCTCTCGCTTGCACGTAGCATAGCATACTCTTTCGCTTTGCTACATGCGAGTGAGAGAGAACGCAAGGGGCACGGAACAGAGTTATGTTCTTTTCTATGTGCACCTCGGCTCCCACTCCTCAACACTCGGTCTAGATATACTATGTCTATGGAAATATCAATAAGTGGAAACCATAGACATGGTATATCTAGACTAGAGTCCTATATAATCAGAGAAACGACATCGTTACCCCCTCCATGCTTCCCATGATCGCCATGTTGGTCCCGCAGCTGCCCATTTGTAATCTAAAATCTAAAATGTCTTATACCCGCCCACTCGGCATGTAATATTTCTGATACATTGCTGCAATATTCCATTTGAAATATTACACCTTTCAACAATATTACAGAAATATTTCACAACCGTTTCTGCAATGTTTCAATGTCCGCAATCATTTCAAATACAACCTTGCTAAAAGATTTCAGCAATATTTCGGTAATATTACTGAAATATTTCTGAAACATATCCCAAGTAGCGAACTGACGTCATAATGACGGTAAATGTTGGTCACAAAATGATCACTTAGATATCCTAAGTTAGGTCTCATGAGCAAATAAACTATAACCTTAATACTAGTTACAAAAGGACATTCTGAAAGATTTCAGAAATATTTCAAATGCAATATTTTAAAAAACATGATACAGGTACATTTCCAAAATATTTCGGATGCAAAGTTACAATTGAAATATTAGTGAAATATTTCTGTACCATTTCCGAACATTACAGTATTTCAGCAATATTACATGCCGAGTGGGCGTATCAGACTACACATTGAAAATTGAAGATTGAAGATTAAAGGTTGGAATTTGACTAATCAGAACAAAAGGGACTAAAATTTCTTTGTCCTGATTGGTCAAATTTCAATCTTGAATCTTGAATCTCAATCTTCAATGCGTAGTCTGATACGGACTTTAGGGCCAATTTCACCAAGCTCGGTTAGATTAACCGACGGTTAAAATTAGCAGGATGGCCAACAAAAATTAGAGGTGAAGGAAAACCAAGTTTTCATATAATTTCAGTTGGAACCCTGCTAATTTTAACCGTCGGTTAATCTAACCAGACTTGGTGAAATTGGCCCTTAAAAATGTCTCAGAGATATTTAAAATGTTTTTTTTAAGAAAATAACATTACTTGGCGTCGGGACGCTACCGCGTCGCTTGACAAATATACTTTTTTCTCACTTACGGTACGCCGGTTGCGGTTAGTTTGCACGTAGGATTCACTACGGGACCAACATAGGGCGCGTTCCACTTAACGACCGCAACGCTCGCGAGCATCATCTGTCTTTGTTTAACTTTCGGTGAACAACAAAGATGAAATGATACCGTGAGCGTTGCGGTCATTAAGTGGAACGGGCCCATGGCGGTCAGCCAATCAGCAAGCGGAACGCCATTGTCGCTTCTCTGATTATATGGGCCGGTATTCATAGTCAGTTCTTATTTCAAGACTGTTTTAAGTAAGGTCTTAAGATGTTAATACGGCTCTGTGATTGGTTTAGGACATCTTAAGTTTGTGCTTAAGACGGTCTTAAATATAAGAACTGACTATGGCCGGTATTCATAGTCAGTTCTTATTTCAAGACCGTCTTAAGTAATGTCTTAAGATGCTAATACGGCTCTGTGATTGGTTTAGGACATCTTAAGTTTGTGCTTAAGACGGACTTAAATATAAGAACTGACTATGAATACCGGCCATAGGACTCTAATCTAGACCGAGTGTTGAGAAGTGGGGGCCAAGGTGCACATAGAAAAGGACATACTCTGTTCCGTGCCCCTTGCGTTTTCTCTCGCTCGTATGTAGCATAGCGAAAGAGTACGCTATGCTAAGTATCTTTACCCTCACTCCTTAAATAAAAGCAAACGCTTGATCTAGATATACTATGTCTATGGTGGAAACAGTACGTTAAATTTGACCCGCAGACATCTTATTGGCTACGCTGAGGGCATCAACTTACAGAGTCGCGACACCACCATCGGCCTACCACAGGGCTCCATCCTTAGTCCCATACTGTTCAATCTATATATTGCCTTGTCACACAAGGTTATACCTGATACTGTGAATATTTTGTATTATACTGACGACATTGCTATATATTGCTCCGATAGTCTACTGGAGCCTCTCAGGGATCATATGAACGACGCATTGGAAAGCTTATATCAATTTTTTGTAAACCTGGGGCTTGTTATTTCCCCCTCCAAGTCAAGCTACGTCATCTTCTCAACACTTAAGCCACGCAATCTCCGTATACTAATGAAAAAACATAATTTCCAGCTTAAAGTAGGCAGCGGCAACATACAGTTTGCGCCGGCGACGCGTTTCTTGGGCGTCATGTTAGACTCTGAACTCAACTGGAAGGCACATGTTAACCACGTAAGGAATCGAATCATGCCAAGACTAAATATCCTCAAAGCTATAACGGGTATTAGATGGGGCGCCCATCCCACCAACTTATTTAACGTTTATAAAGGCTTTATCAGACCTTTACTAGATTGGGGATGCCAGTCCTTTAATCCACTGGAGGAAACCCTCTACTTGAAAATTAGTCGCCTGCAATATGCGGCATTAAGAGCAGTATCAGGTCTCATGACCACCACTCCCACCAATGTCCTTCTTGATATTAACGGGGAGTTCCCGCTGGACGCACGTTGGCAGAGCCTCACTCTGAGATTCCTGGCGAAAGTCATGGCTAGGCGTTCTCACCCATTGAGACGGTTGATAAAGGATCTCTGCGACCTACCGGTTGCCGAGAGGGATAACATCTGCCTTCTGGCTGATACCTTTTTCGTTCATGCTGAGCTCTTTGGGCAGATACTTTTCATCTGCCAGGTTACCTCGACTTCCCGTATGAATGCAGACATCTCGATCCCGCGATTAACACGGATTTAGGGCATCGGATTGCGGCGGACATTGACCCCGCCTCCTCCTTTGAACTCCTCACATCCTCCTTAAAATATGATGCCTCATTTTACACCGACGGATCTCGGTCAGAGTCGGATAACAGAGCTGGATTTGCTGTGTTCTCACCGGAGCTCGACTTGGAACATAAGGAAAGAATAAACAATAATTGCACCATCTTTGAGTATATTAATTATATATTATCCTCGATTTTTTCTACAACATATGATGAATTATTTTATATACAATTTTTGTAGCTGCAATTTTATTTTTAATAGTGATTTGTTATAATAAATTATATTCAATATCTGCACAATTTCAGTTTTTAAAGTTGTTGATCTTTATGTATTATACATTGATTATCTCAAAATGATAAAATGCTACTGTTTGAATACAATACAATTTGAATTCTGTATAATTTGCTTGATTCTTTAATGCTGTAATTGTACATAAGTAGGCTGTACATAAGCAGAGACTCTTCCTTGAATGGTTAAGTTTCAATGTAAAATATTCTATATGGTACATTCAACTGAAATGTGTTGGCTAAGGTTGTTGTTCCGTAAAAGTCTCAGTCTATGTTTCAATTGAACATAGCTAATATTATGATAGGAAACATGTATATTAACAAGAGAATATACAGCAATTCTTGTGCATATTCTTAGATATATGTAATTATAATCTGTATTAATTATATATATAAAAATTAGTTAATTATATTGATTAGATATAATTACAGTCTGTTAATAATAATTTGTTATT